TATCATCTTAGAATTAAGATTGTACAGATTTCTTAATGACATAGATTTGGACCATGGAACGTATTCTAATTGCACGTATAAAACTGTTACACAATTTGCATCTGCTTTTGTAATAAAATTATGTGTTTGCTGAATTCTTGCATGCAATTTTAACATCTAAATAATTAACTAAAACTACATGACACTGCCATTAACAAAAAGAATAGAGAAATTCAGAATAAGTCGTTCAGATCGAATAAGTATAAGAAATATATCATTCTCTGAACATAATTGTACAGATTTGAAGATTTTTTAATAGCGTGATACACTTGGACCAAGGAATATATTTTAATTGCATGTATAAAGCTGTTACACAATCTGCATCTGCCTTTGGAATAAATGTTTGTTTGCTTCATCTTTGCATGAAATTTTTAATATGTAATTATTAAAACAGCACGGGACCGCTAATGATAAGAATAGAGACTAGATGTTCAGAATCTATCGCTCAAATCTAATAGGCGTGAGAAATGTTTCATTCTCTGAACGTTGGAAGTAGTACAACTTTTTTAACAATAACACGATAGGCTTGGAACAAGAAATATATGTTAATTGCATGTATCAAGCTGTTACACGATTTGTATCTGCTTTTCGAATAAAAATATTTGTTTACTTCATCCTTATACGCAATTTTTAACATCTAACTAATTAGCAAAACATTATACTGCTGACGATAAGAATAGAGAACAGATGTTCAGAACCCGTCGCACGAATTTAATACACGTGACAAACGCATCATTCTCTGAACTTAGTAGTACAGATTTCTTTGTAACGCGATGGACTTGTATTAGTCGAAATTGGGACACGAAAAAGTAAATCGGCAAACGTAAAGAAAAACGAGAGGAGTGTCAGTGGAGGAGTCGCAGGTTGGGCCAGGCAGACGTGAAGCCTGAAGATCCAGGGGTGCTAAGCCCTGAATCCTGAGAAGTGTTCAGAGCTTACTCGGCTAGTGTTACCCCCGCCGGCAGCCGTCCTCTTTTTCTTTCTCCTTAGGCCTACGGCGTTCGTTTCCTCGGCCAGGGGTACACGAAGCAGGGGCGTAAGGTTGGCTACATGGGTCCTCGTCTTCTCGCATTCCACCCTTATTACAACCAGTCTGCCGACGAATCTACCCCACCAAAGTTTCAAGTTATAACGAAAGGGGAACCCGTCAATCGATTATTAATCGGTTACGAATGATCCTCTGATGACCGAAACTACTAAAAATGTGCCAACTATCGCGATAAGATATTTTGCCAAACGCCTTTCATTTAATTCTATCAGTAGAGCCGTAGCGTCCAGCACCTTACGCTTTTACCTTGCATCGAAGTTCCTCGCACACGTTCTTACTCATCGTTAAAAGTCAATTTTTTTTATTAAGTTCTTTGCTTGAAATTACCGAGCCACGTTGTGCAATTAAAAGACAGTAATGTCGCTTCGATATTCACCTGATTCCGGCATGACTCGTGTCCTTTATCACATGACCTCCTTTGTGGGAAGCCGCAAAAGTCGGCGACAGTTTGCGTTGATAGCATCCGCGTTAGTTTTACTCTATATCCACGATTACGTCAGTTTAAATCGATTACCGATCAAATTCGAGAATATCTCACGACGAATTGGGGTTTAAACGAATATTAGATAACAATCGAGAGAAGGAAAGTGGCGGAATCGTTGGAGGCTCGTAAATCAATGATCATTTCTTATTAGAAAATACAATACAAGTAGACAGTAATATTTGAATAATAGGTCCTGGATTTATTATGATGTTAAGGGTTCGTGTCCTGCAGTAAGAGTTTAAAATTAGGTCGTCCTAATACCAGATCCAACTATTTAACTAACGAGGTACGTAGGTATGTATACGGGATACGTTTTAAGGATTCACCTCTTCACAATATCATTAAACACTACTACAAAGAACGAGACTGCCAACAGACGGCAATAGCCAGGTCACAAGGTGAACCAAGTTATATAACCAACTGGAGATTTATGTAATTCAGAAAAATGTAATATGCAGGTATAAAAAGTATTACAGAAACAATTTTTTAGTTCAACTCAAAGAGAATCGTGAATCAGAACAGATGTGTTCTTGAGATCTGATGATCAAAGATTAGAGGAGATGAATGAAACGTAAGTATCGCAAACGTAACGGTCGTATAAAAGCCGAGGAAGGAAAGCGCACCGTCTGCTATTCGATCGTCCAACTTCGGTAACGCAAATACGATTTCGTTCGTAATGCCTGTGCCCTTATTTCCCAAGAAACACGTGTCTTGCGGCCTTAAAGAAAAATGTTGATTGGACGGTGGAGCCTAAAGCCACCCCATCATTGGTCGATGGATTAGATGACCACGTGGTGTCCTGGTATATAACCAAGGGTGAACTAACAAGGTATCGGCAGTTGTGCACGGAACATGGACACCAGTGCAAAGATCGTTGTTTATTTAACTTGCGTCCAGCTTCGATCGCGTAGTGATACGATCCAACGGGGGGACATTGATCAAGTGCGATTACTCAAGTTCTGGCTGACATTCATTCCGTACACCAGTGGATGGAGCACGATTCTAATACTTTCAATTTTATAACTCCTTCACGTGAACCAGGAATTCCAAGTGTGTGGTACGAATTGTGTGAACGACCTCTTTTATCCTGGAATTTCGAGCTAGAAGCCTGACTAAAAGAATCATTGAAGAAACGCGTTGATAGTTTATTCAGATTATCATTTCTCCCGTTGCTAGCCGCATTTTAGGGATCGCGAAAAATTGATCTCGATCACTAGCGATCGTGTGCGTCGGTGTAGCTTCCATTGGATAGAAGAACGATGGCAAGAGTTAGCCTCGGTGTGCGAACGGTAAGTTCACCGTAGTAATGCACGGATAGGAAAATCGAAGCCAATGAATTTTGTATTCGAGTTGAACCATCCTATCAGCCTATAGAACCACCAGATGTCCGGTCCCCACAACTTATCTTGGTACGGACATACTTCTCATTCTCATGCATTTGCATGTGCTATTACTTACTTCTTCGATAGAAAATCTGTTAGTAGAAATTTGAAGAACAACAATAAATTTTAATCATTGCACACTTTCCATTGGTCCTCAAAGAGGGAAATGAACGAAGTAGTTTCGACAAACCTCTGAATGGATGAAACTACTTTATAGAGATATTCGAGATTTCGAGGTATTACATTGATTTTTAAAATACGCGTGACAGTGGGTAGAGGGATAATTAAACCGTGGTAAAGTACCGTGACGGTCATTTAATACTTTGCCCGTTCATTCACGACACCTATACATACTTTACTACTTGGTATCCCACTTTTTTAACTTCGCTGCCTGCCATAAGAAAAGTAGAATAGCTGAAATGAGGGCGATAATGCTAGATCGTATCGATTAAACTCTGTCAGACTGAAAGAAAATTGACAAACCTGAACCGACATATTACAAAATTAATTCTATACTCCGATGCATTACAACTTTAGTGTACGTGATTCTATCCAACAATTGTAATCGTTTAAACTGTGTGACTTCGCAAGAAAAAGAAGTGATGGGAGAGGAAGAGGAATAATGGACCCCAGTGCAGCTGCTGGCCACTGCACAAGATTAGATATAAGACTCTTGTGCGTGTGACAGCGGCTATGATGGGGCTTCCACGAAGCATCGGTAACACCTCGAAATCTATATCATTACCAAGTGCGGCTGCTAAAACTGCCGGACGCAGCCACGCAAGTTCAACGCGTTACCAAGAATCAGTTTCGTTTTACATGGTAATATATCGTATATAAAATGGTCTTTTACATGAAATAGTTATAAGTCGAATGAATTACTGATGTGTTATTATTTAGAAAGCCCTCGGTATTACAAGAAAGTGATGAAAGTGTAAAGTATAACAATATTTATATTATTAAGTTTATATTAGTATAACAAAATTTACTTTAGCAATTTTAGATGTAACAATAAAACGTTGATTACACCTTTATCTTTGATTATGATCCTAGAATCTATCCCTTAGATATATTTTATTATTTCTGCAGCAGCATGAAAATTAATATCGAAATATGTATCCCATTTTGTATTAACTACAGTATTAAAATCAGTCCATTGGTCTCTTATTGACGACGAACTCTTGTATAGAATTTTTCTCCTTTAGAGGTATTAAAACGTCGTATCAATTAGTACGAATATTACCACAAGGAAAAATCCATATGTAAAGATGCATATAACTTAATCATTCCGTTTCCGACACCGAACCAACGCGTTATTACAGCAGACTAAACTATTAGCATCGATATTAAAACTACAAACGCGAGGCAGTATTAAAATTTGCATTGCGTGACGTGAACGAATAAATATAAGTATGTTCAATGTATAGATATAAGAGACTAGACTGAGCGTTCAATGTATCGTTTGATCCCGTAAAAGATACAGAATTAAATACTAGCGTCTCTTCCTCAGATGCCTATAAAATAGAACGAATTCCCATTTTCCTTCTCTCAATCGTCTGTTCTCGAGTCTCCCATTTGGGCACTCGGTTCATTTCCATGCCTATGGTTTAAATTCTTTAGTTATATTTAAATGAAAAATAAAGAACGAAACAGGAACACCCGGGAAGAATTCAAGTGAAAATGATCAGGATCAAACATCGAGATCGCATTTACTGTGCACTTGCATATTCATATCACTTCGAATTTCGAAACCTATACTTGCACCTGTCGGAGGTAGTCTGAAGAGAACCGTGAATGCCGCGATAAAGTTATCTTACTACTTGGTCATGCATAATCGAGAATTGTGTGAATTCGAATTTGCCTCCCTCGAAATCGAAATAAAATAAGTAAGGCTGGAATTTATAGCCGTTTCTCAGTATTCAGTTCTTAATTCTCAATTCTCAGTTCTCTATGTATTTCGTAATACATGATTAATGAATATCGAGGATATATTTTTAAACGTTTTATTTCATTATTGATTAAGACTTTTTAAAATTTTATTGAAGCGAGTAAACCTACCACAATGACCGTAGACGCTTCAATGAAATTTTTAAAAATCTTAATCAAAAAACGTAAAAATATATATCTTTGATTTTCATTAATCATGTACATATCACAAAACATATGGAAAATTGTATCAATTTAAAATGTAACGAAATGATATAAATTAATTTATAACTTCAATTGAAACAGATGGAAGTAGTATAGAAAGAGGAAGGAAACAGATCGCAGGTTTATATTTGTGCATATAATTATTCCCAAAGCAAACGTAATTGAAATTGTCAAATTATATATCATTAAATTGTCTATTAATTAATTAGTTATGTTTATATTCAAGGTCGGCAATTTAAACACGAAATCGATAAGAGGAACGTACGCGGCGCATGCGCACCGCTATACAGTACACTTATTTATATGTATGTACGTGCATACTACACTGGGTGCTTACTCTACTCAGTACATTGCGAACTTCCAAGAGACCACTGTCAATTACTGCATCTGTGCTTTATTACGTTGTTAGAGATCACGATGAGTTCAGACGTTATGAGCTTAGTGCGTCAAAATTTTCACGTAGAATGCGAAGATGGGATTAACAAACAAATCAACAAGGAACTGTACGCGAGTTACGTTTACTTGTCCATGGTTAGTCCACGCATCCATTGCGTCAGTTATTTTTAACGTTAAATCATATACGACGATGTCTATATAAAGTCGAAACGTGATTCGGAATTTTCCTTAAAGGTAGTATATATGTTTTACGTTTTGGTGCATTGCCGTTGCGCTTTCTTTCAGGCATATTACTTTGACAGAAGCGACGTGGCTCTGCCGGGACATTATAAATATTTCAAAAAATCCTCAGACGACGAAAGAGAGCACGCGATCAAGTTTATGGCTTATCAAAACAAGAGAGGTGGCAGTATCATTTTGACACCCATTGAAAGCCCGCCAAAAAACGATTGGGTTGGTGCCCATGATGCTATGATCGATGCATTAAAATTAGAGAGAGAAGTGAACCAGGTATGCCTTTTGAACCTTTGAAATAATGTTTAATAACCATTGTACATCTCATTTATCTTTCCAAATAAAAGAGATATATCTAGAGGAATGTTGCGACAATACTTCTTTGCTCACGTTTTGTCACGTTTGTAGTACTCGTCAAACAGTTCCCATTACACACCATTCGCTAATTCAATTTCTATAGTTAGCTTAAGGATGCATTGGCTATATAGTCAATTCCAAAAGCTTATGTACCTTAGAAAAACGCATTTCCGATAATTAAAAATAGTGCATTTTTCTTCTAATTTCGATATTTAATGAGTTACATATGATTATTTGGCATTTTATTGATGTTGACAAAATCCGACCATCCCAGCGTCGAAACGGCGAACTTTTGGAAAAAAATTTCGTTTTTCCTCAATAACTCCTAAACCCTTGGAGATACGGGAAAATTGCATAGAATCTTTCTTGTAGAGGACGACGAGATCTACAATTTCTGTGTAAAAGTTTTTCGCTAGCATTAATAGTTTACGAGTTATTAACGAAAAACGAAAAAACAGTTTTTTGTAAATTACTCGTAAACTATTAATGCTAGCGAAGAAATTTTGTATGGAAATTGTAGATCTCATCGTCCTCTACAAAAAAGGTCNACTATTACCTATGAAAAATTTGAAATCACTATAATTCTAGCTTTTTAATAGTAATAGGAATCTATAATAACAAATTTAACATGCCAGCATTGTTTAAGTATATGTATAGCCTATACATCCTTAATGTATTTCCAACGTGTTTCCCTGCTACACGATTTCTACGCCGTTAGCAAGTGGTCTTTTAAGTGGGGGTGTAACTCAGTGGTAGAGTGTCCGCTTCGCATGCGGAAAGTCCTGGGTTCAAATCCCAGCTCCTCCAATCTTCCTTTTTATTTTATTTTTCTTTATTAAAAATGACCTTTTCGGACAACGACGATAGCTTTCAGCAGATTCAATGATCTCATACAAATTTTTGGTCGTTTTTCAGAACCTCTTGGATTTGCACGCGCTGGCGGAGAAGCATAAAGACGCAAACTTTTTAGATTTTCTGGAAACTGAATATTTGCAAGAGCAAGTAGATTCCATGAACGAACTTGCCAATCATGTTACGAAATTAGAGAGGGTCGGCGAGGGTCTGGGCGTTTACATGTTTGATCAGGAACTTAAGGAAGAAGAGTCTCCTTAAGGAATTAGCTCCAGCATTTCCAAGGATGGAGTTTAATATTGTACAAAAAGAATAGCATTCGTCATGGATTAAACGTCACATTTTATGTAACATTAATTCAAGATGTCAAATTAGCAGATACAGGACGAAGTTCATAACTATAGAATGTTAATTTTATATCGTATAACGTGTTAACAATAAATCTAATGTTATAATGTACCAACTCTGATCGAAATAAAAGTTTAAATACCTCATTGTCTTTTTTCACTAATCCTAAATATGCTGCCCACCGCGTAATATTATATCGAAACAAATTACGAATCGATATATTGATACGTGGATAAAATTAACAGTACCATTTGTCAAGAAATGTCCGAGTAAATCGTCCGTAACTAAAGATAAATCATGTCAAAATTGTGCAATCATAGAAAGATTCTCATAATTAGTAACGTCCTCGTTCCCCATATTCGACGATTGTATCAAACGCAGAAGTAAGTTTGTAACTTATCAATAAGAAATCCTGATATCGAATATAATTAGAAAAAAATGACTAATATTTTTCGAGAATTGAACTCTGTAAGGAATGCGGACATAAAGTACATCTCACGAAGTGTTTGGCCACGACATGCAAAAGCGAAACATCGAAGAACGTTTGCGACGGCAAACCCATGAAATGGCCGAGCGGAGAACCTGCCAATTTCAAATTTCATCAAGAAACCGAGACTATATTAAACGAACAGATTAACGCTGAGTTTAAGGCCTTTTATTATTACTTATCTATGGTAAGATAACGAATCGCCCAATCCTTTCGACATTAACTATTTAGAAGTGAAGTTTGTAGAGGAATGTATATAAGGTCGATGAATAATGAAGTATGAAAAGTTTCATTAGTATGCGAGGGTATGGTGGAACGAAGTATTAAGTTTTTCAAAATGTAAACCTCCTCTTCCTCTTCCACCAGGTCCTCTTCTTGGGCTGATAAGGCTAGAATAAAATATAACTAATACTTGTTTCAACATTAACATTCTTAAATTAATTCATTTCGTATAGGCAGCGTATTTTGGACGTGCTGATGTCGCGTTGCCCGGCTGCGAATCGTTTTTTATGCAAATGCATCATGAGGAACACGAGCATGCTCTAAGATTTCTCAATTACGTTAAAATGCGTGGAGGGCGCGTCAATTTATGCCCGATACAGCATCCAACCGATCAAGATTGGCAATGCCCGTTAAATGCTTTCAAAGTAGGTACACAATTCCAAAGCGAGTAGACTAATGGAAATAACATGATGATTAAATTAATTTAGGAAGCATTGAATTTGGAAATTGAAGTGACAGAAAAGTTAGTCGCAGTAAATGCGGTTGCGGAAAAACATCATGATTTAAATGCAAGCGATTTTATCATTACCGGATTTATGGAGGATCAGATGAAGAGTGTGAACGAAATGGGAAGATTCGTGGCAGTCCTCTCAGGAATCGGTGATCAGGGACTGGCTCGGTTCATGTTCGATAAGGATTTGCTTGATAATCACGTCGTACCGAAATTTAATATCCTTCGCACGAAACGACCGAACGGAGTTGATAAATAGGTCCGATCGCACTCCCGCCTTTTACATGTACTATAGTCGAGTCACTGTACTGTATTACATATACATTTATACATGTAACGTCTACACATATTTGTAATTTGTATGTATATTTACGCATTTAGAATAAAACTTTATAAGTACACGTGTTTCAATAAATCATTGCATAAAAGATACGAACGTATGTTCAAGAATTAACTGTCAGCTAGTTTTCACCAGAAATTTTAGAACACGCTCGATGATCATTTTTGTCGCGTAAATGAAAACGAAAACTGCTGAACGTTGTTCAACATGGCTGAATCGCTGCATACCATTGTCGTCGAATGCGTTTATCGCGAATAGAAGGCTACGTTAAAAGCGTAGACACTGTGGTGAATAACTTGTTCAACTTCTTTCTAATAAAGGCAATACTAGTGTGGGGCTTGTTACAACATTAAATTCATTATATAATTTCGTAAAAGATAATTGAGATTATTGGGATGAAATCATTTTATTGTGTGCTTGTGCCAGGCTTAGATCGTTGAAAAATTGCAATTTACTAACGCGTAATTAATCCTGATTTCGATGTAACGGTGCGCGTTTCCGGTTATTACGAATGAACGCGGCTAATTATTCAAGTTACGAGGGTAAGTTTAATGATGGCTAGCGATTTGTCGAGCGAATGTACCGAGGCGACCGGTGCTTTGGACGAGAAAGAGGAAGGTGAGATATCCTTGGAAGATGTCAGTTCTTCCGAGGAAGGACACGCGAACTACGGATATGGATCGAGGGCTCAATGTTCCAACTGTCTGTCGAGCCAACACATTACAGCGTGGTGCACTATTCCTGCCAAATCATATCCTTACAAGGGACCTAGGAGAGGTAATTTAAATAACATTCTTATGTAAATACTTTTAATATTAAATTTATTTAAAATTATCCATGTTAAAATGTTTATAATATCTCTATCTCTATTTTTCATTCCTTAAAATATTTTGAGATACTTTTACTTAATAAATTAAACGCATCATCTTTTTCTACATATTAATGTATTATCATGTACCACATATTGTGTTCTAATCAAGTAGAAATTGACCTCATTCTACAAGAAGCAATCCAGGGAAAAGAAAATCGTCATCAGATCAAAGAGTCAGGATCTATTGGAGCAAAGCATGTGGCATCGACGCTTCAAGAAAAGAATGATGATCTTGTGTCTATTTCAAGTGATAGCGATATGGAAATCGTTGGTCTTATGGATAATTCAAAACAGATCACGTTGCATGGTCCCAAAAGTAGAGGAAAGAAAAAGAAAAAAAATAAAAGGAATCACGCAATTATGTTGACGGTTGACGATTTAGTTAGTACATCCCCGGTGAACGTGCCAGCAGGAGATGCCCCAGTAAAACATGCTGCTATAAAAACTACTTCGAGATCGCGTCGCCGAGAAGTGAGTCCTGTCCATAGAAACAGTGAATCAAGAATATCTGTAAGAACACCGCCTAGAAGACGTAGATCCCTTGTACGAGCAAGATCACCTTTTAGAAGATCGAAATCACCAACTGTCCGTGTTAGATCACCGGTACCGCGGAGATCTCCGAGAAGACTGAAATCTCCTAAAAGATCACCTTATAGATCTTCGATAAAAACAGTGGCTAGAAAAACGTCACACACTAATTCGGTGTCATCTCATAATTACATCGAAACACAGAAATTATTGAAGAAAGTTAGACATTTGGAATCAATTGGAACTCAATCGTTGGAGGAAACTTTAAACAAAAACAAAGAACATGCATCTTCCTTAAAAGAAAAGTTATCAAACATGATGAAAGGAGTAACTGATAATAACAATGGTTTTACAAGTTCCTCAAAAGAAAAATCTACTGACAGAAACGAGTTTAATGATGCAGACGATGAAGAAGACTTAGCATTGTTAAGACAGAAGGCTCTTGAAACGAAACAAAATAAATCAAGCAAACAGAATGGCCAGTCGAAGGGTGAGATGGCGAAGAGTACAAATGTAAATGATAATCAGGATGAAGAAGATTTACTGTTGAGAGCGATTGCTCTTCGTTCTGCCGTGTTGAAGAAGCATCAGAAAAGGATTCAAAAAGGCAAAATATTAGGAAAGTACAAGAAACCTAATGGTTCTCGCAGTGGGAGTCCGTTTACTCAGAGCTTTTTGGACAGTATACCTATACCTGGAGAAGACCTGTTAAACTTTGCATCGCTATCTCAGACTCCAACTGTTACACATGAAAACAATCACACAGAAGATATGGACTTGGATACAGACATTGAAAGAGAAAAGGAGAAATTGCCATACTCTCCGACAGATAAAATAACTGCTAGTATATCTATGGATACAGAATTATTAGGAATTCAACCGTCTGACGTGTCATTTATCAGTCTTAATGTGACAAGTAGTAGTCCAAGTTTCAACACATCGCCTAGCCAGGATGATCCGAAAAATTATTTGGGCAAGATAATTGAAAATCGAAGTTATCTGCCAAATTTGGTATATCGCACATCGTCTCAAAATACATTATATACAAATGCAAGTAATATGCAGTATGCACAAGCTAATTTCACAGAAACATCTATGAAAGTGCATAATCCTCATGCGAACAGTCATCCGTATGAAAGCACGTGCAATATAAATAACCCTTCCAAGACTGTAGTTATTACTTCCAGTCAAGAAATGCCTTATTCCCCAACCGATACTCCTGTTTATGATCCTGATTTATCATCAACCCTCCCTCAAAATCTGACTACTACCTCATTCTCATCCTTAGATCCTTTAGAATCGTATTCATCTGTTACCCCTGAGACCAGTGCACCATATAATCATATATCTGTCCAACATGTGCAAACTACGAACCATATAAGGAATGCGAATGAGTATGACGGGCAATTAAATAAAGCAGGATCCAGTCTATCACTGAATCCAATTGTTGGTTTTGCTACAACTTCTGTCATGGAATCGATTTTACCGGGAAATTCAATGATAACAATTGATGATCTTCCTGAGACCGACTTGGATGGAGGCCCCTTAATTGATACTGCTATAAACGCGAAACCTGCTGAGCACATTCCAAATGATTTATCGTGTAATAAGGAAAAGGTACCAGAACCACTTTATATGAAGGGAGTACCGGATGTAACCAAAGACACAAATAAAATACCAACATTGATTAACAGAACACTCGTTCCTGCCTCAATTTTGAAAACAAATAAGAACTTGCAATTGCCTTTGCCTACGAAGAAGTACACAACACAACAAGAGCCAACGTTTAAAAATGCTGAAATGCTCCCAGTTTTAATCGATCAAGACACTGGTACAAAGACAAATACTTCGTTTAAACCGATTAAATTAATATCCCTTCCTCAAAAGCCTCATTCTACTTTAGTGACACCTACTGCGTTTAATGACTCTTTACAAGAAGATACAACTAATGAACTACCTACAAATAAAGTCCATGAGAAAATGGAAGAGCCAGTTTTGCCACAGAATGATATAAGAGCAGTAAAAAATTCAGAGAAAGTTTGTGATAAAAGCTCAACACAGAAAAAGGGGAAATCCGGGAAGAGAGGGTCGAAAAGAAAAAATAGTAGTACACTGCCACCATTTACGAAAAGACATTCTTGTGAAAGTAGTAACAGTACCAAAACTGTGAATGAACAGATAAACAAACCACATGTTAATGTACCTGACGGAAGTACTTCTAACGAGAAGAATAGAATTTCAGAAACGAATAGGGAAAAGATACAGAATAGTGGTGATGATAAGAGTAAAGAAGATAGAAGAGAAAGTCTTGATGAAGATGAAGAAGCTTTAAGAGCAATTTTATTAGCTTCTTTACCAAAAAGAACAAAAGCTACTAATAATGGTTCAATTCCAACTGTGATCACAACAACGTCTATTGTATCAAATCAAACTTCATCAAAAGTTACAACGGTCAATGCAACTAACATTACAAATGTTAATGATACAACACTTGTAAGAACTCCAATCGTTAGTGTATCTGGCTGTGAGAATGATAAGAACCAATCAAACGCTGAGGAAAAATTAAAGCATACTGTACAAGGAAATTTATCTTCTGATGGACTTAAAATGCTAAATTCAATAGTCTCTGCGAGAAAGAAATCAGTTCCTATAACAAGGAGTCCACAGAAGAAACTTGTTAAAAGGACACCGATTCCTGCGAGTACAAAAGTTGTAAATAATGCGAAGAAGTACCAGAATACGATGGTCCAAAGGAGGCTAAATTTGCAGAAAGCCACGCTTTCTAACAAACAGAAGATAGGAGAAAATAAAATCATATCTAAGGTGCAATCGAATGAAAACAAATGGTCCGTGAGTACGAAGGCGGCATGTGATACGCAAAGGCTTGTTATCAGTTTAGAATCCGATACAGAAAGTGATTCAGAATCAGAACGACTAAAGAATTCGTTAGCTGCTTCCAATTCTAACACGGTGGAGAAACGTCAAATATCACCGATAAATCCCAGGACAGACTTTGAAAAGAATTTGGAACAATTTTTACGCGCAGCGCGCAAGAAACATGAATCTATGACTGCTGCAAAACCAACTTCGATAACGCAAACGCCTAAAAAAAGTGCTGTGGCAACGAAATCGGAAAACGCAAATTCGTCCAATGTTCATACACCGCTGGTAAGGATACTAGGCGGAAATATTTTATTATGCGTGATACATTAACTTAGTTGAGTATTTTTACAGGCTGTTCGTCATTTACCCGCATCACAGCAAGAGGAATATCGACGGTTGAAGCAACAAATCTTAGAGCGCGAGAAATTGAAATTAATGTTTATGACAAAAAATAAAACCGCTGAGACTTCTCCGAAATCTGTACTGCCCAATAGTCCGACAAGAGTAATTTCGCCAGTGGCCAAAAATTTGAACGTAAATGCCCAACAATTGAACAAAGAGAATTTTTCCAAGAACTTAGTAAACTCTATAAAACCTACAACCGCATCAATTAATATTCAATCGAGTAATAACAAAACGTGTAATGTCGATAAACAAAAAAGTACAAATCCAAATCAAGTAAATCTTAGTCCGAATAAGGCAAACAAAGTTGTTGGAATAGAATCCACAAATGAACCGCGAGACGCTTTAGAGACGTCTACACCTATGATTCCAAAAGTACCATCCGGCTTAAAAATTTTATCTACAGACGAAGTAAATCGAAAGTACTTGCAGATACAAGTAAGAAGCGACGCGAATGAACGGCAAGCAATAGTAAACGATAAAGTGACTTTAAATGATAAGACGATGTCTCAGAATGAAAATAGGGATCATAATCCGGAAAAAATGAATGATCAAACACATTCTGCAGAAAAAAATCTGATTCCTGATAGTAACATGACTGACTCAGATGCGTCAACTATTATTTTACAAAGAGAAGATGCAGAAAAAAAAGAAAGCGATACGACATCTGAAACTACGATTCTGCTTTCTCATTCGGAAACTAAAGATGATGATCATTCTGGCTTATTAAATAACGATGTATCGCCAGGAAAAGGTAGGGTGGAACGAGATTGGGAAGGAATCAAAGAGGATGTTAGATCGGAGCTACGCGCTCTTATTAGTCTTCCTCGTACGGAACAAGAACAACGTCTGGTGGAAACGGAACAGAAGCTAGTTACGAAACGGTGAGTGCGTTCGATGATAATCAGATGTACACGTATATAATGAACTATTTTTGTGTCTGTGATATAGCTACACGATCATAGATGATTTAGCTGAAATGTCGGCTACTCTTCGTCATTGGCAAATGGAACGGGAACTTCAGATGGATTTAGTCGCGGAAGTGAAGAAACTTAGAGAGCAGCTAAAAGTTGCTGAGGAAAGATTGCAGGAACAACGTAATCGGATTAACAGTATAGGACCAAAGGTAGTGACCGCTCATGGCAAGGTGAATGTCGGTCGGCAAGAGTGCTTCAAACTTGCGACGATTTGTTCTACTTTGGGAAGTAGGATTGTTGGAAAGGAATACAAGTAATAGTTCTTTTTATTAGTTAATGATATGATCAAACCTGATAAAAATGGTGAAGTTATGATTCCAGTGTACCTGAAGCTGGAACACAACTTCTAGATAATAAACTGAAGGAAGTAGCCAATCATACGCGGCAACTCTCTCGGAAAAAAGTACCGTTCATCAACATTCCAGAAGTGTGTATATCAAAATTGGAAAAAGAGACCGTACCTATTGATTGTGCGGAAGTCTTTCAAGTTGGAAATTCGGAAGACTTCACCGCTGATAATGATACGATGATTTTTAATGCGAACGAATCTCTAATGAACTCGACTGCGATCGAAAGAGTCGAGCAAGTAGAAGGAACTTCTGCAAATGTCGATGAAAATGCAAGTAAAGAAAATGACGGATTAAGAAATTCAGAATCATCTAACAAAGAGAGAACTGCAGAAAACAGGATCGAAGTGGAAGCTCAGGAATCGGTAAACAAAGAAATTGCTCAAAATAACAAGGAAGCGTCGGAAGATAGCGCGATGAGGCCTACAACTTCGGAGCTTCGTAGTGAGAAGGAAAATTCTACGAGGAACAAAGAGGATCTTCAAACGAAGACGATCATGCCTTATCAATCGATATTAATACATTTTAAATCACCAAGGTGGGTTTTGCTCTCTGAACGTTTCTATAATTTCAACTTTTTTCATAAACGTTACACAATTCTCTATTAATTGAAATTCTACAAAAATTTTGAGCAGCTGTTTTGTGTTTCTTGTCATTTTTAACCAGGAGCATGAATCCCAATGGTGTTCTCTGTCCATACGAGCTGATGGGAACTTGCAGCGACACAGATTGTCAATTCGTTCATCAAACAACGAGTCAAGCCAAGTAGCATTTAGCTACTAAATTGACATTGTTAAATTATACGTAAGGTGGTTTTAATCTTTAATCGTAAAATTGAGAAGACTATTGCAAAATAGAAATCACGATATTGAAAGTGATCGCATTTTTCTACGTTCGATAATTATTTCGTAACTCGATCTTTATAGTAAAGACACGTCTCATTATTACAGGATCTATGTTATTGTGGAAGCAATATAGACGGAAGAATGCCGTTAACAAGTAGAAGTCACACCCGAAGATTGGTAAGTTGTCTACATGATGGCAGGAGTTTGTGCACAAAATTAGTGATTTTATTTATGTAAAAGCCGTAAATTTTTTAAATGAACACATACCTTTTTAATACTGTTCTATTTCAAGCTCCTACTTTAACGAAAGTTTAATAATATCCTGCAAGTGTTTATTTTTTAAACATGTAAAAAGTGTCGTATAGAAGCTGTAAGTAATCAGTGGTTTAATATACGAGTAAGCGAAGAGGTTGTTGACCGATCGTAGAAGACAGCCGCGCAGCAAGCCAACGTCCGGCATTGCAACAGAATATTCATTTCGTACTTCTATATAAGTTACCTCATAAAAATATCTTGTACCTGTATAACTGTATAATAAAAAGATTGATATTTTTTCTAACGAAATTTATTTATTTTTTAACCGTGTCCCAAAACATTTTTCCCTATACTCCGTACTTATCGCCAGGAAACTTGCCCTGCGTTTTATATTTGTGCCAAGGAAATTTGTTCTCCTCTCTAAGAATGTCCCAAGAAGCAATCCAATCATTTGGACATAACGCCGTGAATACTTGTTTAAACCAAGTGCACGCGTTTGCTCCCTCTCCTAAAATGCGTTCGCAACGATAGAAATCAGTGTACATTACCCAACAACGTAACGTTTGGTTTTGCTGCTGAAACCTAAATGACATCGAGCATTTAGTCTGAGAGATCATGACAACGGAATAGTTCTCGCTTGCCTAGGATCGGCACCATGAAAATGAAATTCCTCTTTAACTCCTTCTTCTTCTGGTTGTTGTTTAAGACACGGATCGTCTTCGTCTACTTCTATCGTTATCTTTTTCTTTTTTTTCGGCGTATCATCATTTTGATTTACTAATCGTGTTCTGTACGAATCATGCATATCATCGCCGTCCATTTCTTGAAAATTATTATCCATATTGCTTCTATCAGAAGCCATTGCAGTTTTGCGTACGTATAATTCTTCTCTTTACGTGAAATTATTCTATTCGCCCGTAAAACGTGAAAAGAATTGCGTACGGATAATGTACTGATTCAAATACATTTTTATGTATCGAAACTGATCGAAACACAGTTCAAATTTTTTAATATAAATATATGTTCAAACATACGGGACGCCCTCTTTTTATAAACAATTGTTATCAATGATTTACCAATCCTACTGTTTGCATCGATTAATTTTAATATAATATAGAAACGGAGGAATCAACGTTATTTCATTTAATCCTTGCATTCCCGTGTTCAACTTTAAATAATGTGCTAAAAATCGCGAATAGTAAACCGATAAGACAGATCTATTATAATTAATTCAAAGATAGCACTGAGTACACTAAGCGGCACAGAACACGAGGAAAGTATGAGAGGATACGTGTCATTTGCTGCCTTTTGCCAAGTATATTTCATCAATATTTAAAAGTGCTAACATAAGATGATAGCTTTGGAGTCTCTACTTCTTTATATTATTGTATTTGCAGTGATATGTATAATTGTGGTACGTAGGTTATACTATTATCCATGCACTGTGTATAAAACGTGGCACAGCCACGAACGCATCGAAGTATTTTGATTTTATTGCAATATTTGTGTATAATCGATTTTATTATTCTACAGTATCAATAAAGTTGATATTACTTAATTCCAGTTTTCGATACTACTGTACATAATAACTGAGCCATATCCAAAAATATGGCGAGACGAGGAAGAGAAATATTTTTGGAATCCAAAAACAAAGAGCAAAGAGATTTTCCCATCTTTACATGATAAATGGAGTGTGCATTTGAGTGTTGTAATACCAGCATACAATGAAGAGCAAAGATGTAATTGCTTGTACATATATATGTAACAATGTTCTAAGAACAAATGGATCTTGTATATTTTCCTTGCAGTGCCGGTAATGTTAGATGAATGCTTGGAATATTTGGAAAACCGATTAAAAAAAGGATGTACTTATGAGGTGATCATTGTCAGTGATGGGAGCACAGATAAAACTGTAGATATTGCACATAAGTATGCATTAGAACATGAAAATATTAGAGTGCTAAAACTTGTTAGAAACAGAGGCAAAGGTGGTGCAGTGAGGCTGGTTGGTAATTAAACGTTTCTTATATAAAAAATTACAAATATTTTTGTATAGTGCCACACGTGGTGTTCTCTCTTCTTTTAAGGGTATCTTAAGTTCAAGGGGAAGTGTAATATTGTTCGCAGATGCTGATGGTGCTACCAAATTTACAGATTTGGAGAAGTTGAATGAGAGTTTAAAAAGTATTCTAGGATGTAAGTCACCTTTCAATAATATAAAAAGTATGACTTATCCATTGTTTGAAAAAGAGGAAATCATTTGTTTTAGTTGATTACATGAACAAGCCTGAGGAAGTTGGCTCGTCTCATGTAGTAGTCTGCGGATCTAGGGCTCATTTAGAGAAAGAGGAAACTGCTAAAAGAACGTTCTTCAGATTACTATTGATGCATGGATTTCACGTTCTTGTATGGTTGTGGGGAGTGAGAGGGATTAGAGACACCCAATGCGGCTTTAAACTTTTAACGAGAGAATCTGCAAGATCTATATTCCAAGCCCTGCACGTCGAACGCTGGGCATTCGATGTGGAAATGTTATACATCGCGAGAGTTTTGAACATTCCTATTACCGAAATTCCAGTAAACTGGACAGAAATCGAGGGGTCGAAAATAGTACCGTTCTGGAGTTGGTTGCAAATGGGAATAGACTTATTTTTCATTTGGTACAAATACAGAATCGGTGCATGGAGAATAAAAATGTCTAAGCAAGCGTAATACAGACTGAACAATTTGTATTAATTGCAAAACGCCAAGATGTACCATGTTTGATAACTATTATCAAATCATGATGTATTTTTATGATTTAATTTTCCTTTGTAAGGAAACTTCGTGAATATAAAAGATTGTACACCTTTTACTTCATTATATCATACGAGAATGTATAATTAATAAAAACAAATGTTTTTTACAACTTCTGATTTACTTTTACTATAACTTTTATCTTACCCACTTTATCGATTTATCTATTTATTATAAAAAACCATATTATGTCTCGTCTGTAGATTGTTGTCTCTGCTTCGATGGAACCAACAGCATAAATTTTTACTAAATATAGGTTCTTATATGTGCTACGGTGTAACCCTTTAGAGAGTTAGCCTCTCGGGTAGCAGGTGTAGCACTCGTACGGGAATCACAAAATCCCGGGCGTGAGCACTCTCAACTCTCATTTCCTCTCTGATTACACCGTGACTCGGATTGTATTTATAAAAGTGGTTTTAAGAGAATCGTGTCGTTTTCAATGTATAAAACTGACTCCGAGTTAAGCTCTAAACGAATAAATTCCGGAACATGTTGCCGACACGTAAAAGTATTTAAAAGATATTTATGTGATAAATAAGATCCGTTGCTTTTCAATATCCTGTAGTCAACGCGTGCAGTAGTAAAATGGCTGCCGAGAAACGTCAATACATTTTGTATCAATAATAGTTTTTAGCCTTACAAATCATCGCCGTGAGGAGATTCGCAATAAAACGGATGCCGTTTAATTAATATCTTCAGTTATTTTTTTTTTGATAATCGTGTGTATGAAGGAGCGCGTGTGAACCGAAAATGGCAGAGTTTGTGCGTGGAGGGCCGAGTGTGTCGAACAGTGCTAAGGTACGTATCGAGTGTTATTTGTGCAAGATTATTTATCTGTCATCATCTAGTCACCAAGAACACAATAAGTTAAATAACAAGAAGTGGATTATGATTCCGCACGCTTGGAAATCTGTAACAATTTATCGCGACGTTTTCGTGAATCTCACTTCATCTTTCGAACAATCGTTGACGAAATACGTATCGTTTATAAGCCCTCTTTATTAAAACAGAAAGTATGCAAAGAAATAAACGCTTATCATTATGGAAATGCATACAAATATTCGCACATGCTATTCATGTTTTGTTGACAGAGATATATGTATGTAACATGTATAATTACATTTATGTTAATGTACCACACTTAACTATACAGTAACAATTTGCTAAAAGTATATAAAAAGATTTGTATCTTAACATTAACGATATCATATCAATTTTTTTATATGATAATCAACATATCAACTTTATGTAATTATATTTGAAGATGGATCATAACAGCAAAGGAGGATCTCCGAGTACTGGTAGTGAAGATGGAGGACAGAATGAATCTATGAATGCAGAAACTGAGTTTGATCCTTTTCTTGAGAATATACCAGATGATATTCAAGACACAGAAGAACCAGACAGCGCCAATGCAACCTTATTAACAGCTCCTCCAGAGAACCAGTGAGATTTAACATCAATAAAATATCAATTAGAGAAAATCATTTTTTAATCGGATTTACCAAATCACAAACAGTGATTAACGCAAGAATATCTCGTAGGTGGTATCATGGTAGATTAGATAGATTTACTGCGGAAGAAAGATTGTGGGATGCTAGTAAGATGGGTAGTTATCTAGTACGTGAAAGTGATAGGAAGCCTGGAAGTTATGTATTGTCCTACTTGGGCAGAACTGGCATTAATCATTTTAGAATTACTGCCGTATGTGGAGATTATTACATTGGTACGAGAACTGTCAAAATTTAGTAAATATTTGCAATGTATTTGCAGTGTAAATATTTGCAATGTATTTGCAGTCTAAATATTTGTAATCAGTTTCTAAAATAATATATGTTCTTTTATAGGAGGGAGACAATTTAACAGTTTGTCAGACCTTGTCGCTTATTATACTCATTGCTCAGATCTTTTGAAGAGAGAAAGACTTATCCATCCTACTCCACCGCCTGAACCAGTGAACGATAAGAAGCGAATAGTTGCAATACTGCCATACACAAAAATGCCCGACACAGACGAGTTAAGCTTCCAGAAGGGTGACATATTTTTTGTGCACAATGACATGGGAGATGGCTGGTTGTGGGTCACTGCGCATAGAACTGGCGAACAGGGCTTGATTTTCCGTGAATTAGTGGAAGACTTGGATGATTCCATTGATCCTAACACTGTATTCTCTTGGTTCCATCCTAACGTCACTAAGAGCGAAGCTGTTGATATGTTGGTCAAAGCAGGACCTGGTAGCTTCTTGGTAAGTCATACTGATGAACTTTGATTGAAGAGATAATAATCTCTTACTTTATTATTTAGGTCAGACCTTCGGACAATAGTCCTGGGGATTATTCGCTTTTCTTTCATATAAACAATCAAATTCAAAGATTTAGAATTGAAAAGAAAGGTGTACGTTATCTTATGGGCGGTCGAACGTTCGAATGTCTGGATGCCGTTATAAATAGGTATGAGATCTGCGTTTCATATGTAAAAACTATTATATTACTTTAAAAATTTTATTTACAGATACCGGAAAGAGCAGATAGTGGAAGGTCATACTTTAGTTCAAGCAATGGTAACTGAACCCGATGGTAGCGTGAGAGTTAACAGAGAGGTACAGCACGCAGAAAAAATATACGCGACTCTGAGAGAGTGTCGCGAACAATCCGGGGCAAAGAAAAATAAAGGAATTAAGATGCAAGGATATCTGGAGAAAAAGTCAGAAAAGAACAAAAAGTGGAAGGCATTGTATTTTGTACTTTTAGTAGACGCGACCGATACTCATTTGTATTTGTACGACAATCCAAAAAGGACCAAACCTAAAGGTCTTATTGATTTAAGCTGTGCATATTTATACCAGGTAAATTAAATATAAATAATTGGAACGTATTTCATTGTATATATACTTGTTTCACTTAACAAACTGTGTTACCTTTTAAACATATGTTTTATGTGGTTAATTGTACTAACATTCGACAAAAGATAAGATTAATTGTGTTTAAGAAAACACGTTTGTTAATTAAGGATAATAACAATTGAATTTTTGCTGAGATCTGTTCCTGAGATGTAGTTTTTTGTAGGTTCATGAAAGCGTGTTTGATAGGCCTCATTGCTTTCAATTAGTTGAACGTGCTTTACCATGTTTGGCCACGATAACATATTTGGCTGCTCCGAATTCCGAGAATGCTTTAGACTGGATTAATGCCTTGAAACCATTATGTGTATCACAACTTACTCGTGCTCCAAAGGTTGCCCGTCTCCGCGAATTGCGTTCATTACATCTGCATATACTAGATGCACATAGACTTCCATACAAACTAGTACCGAACCCATTCATTATAGTGGCTCTAAACAATGTAAAAGTTGCTCGCACAAAAGTTAAAACCGGATTACATCCAATTTGGGATGAAGAATTCATTTTAGAGTATGTATATCGTCGTTCTAAACGTTAATCTATTCGAGTAACGTTAATTGTAAATCTTTCTACAGAGATGTACCACCAGATGTTATGTCGTTCTCGTTAACGTTATACAATAAAGGAAAGCGTAGTAAGGATACGGAAGTGGCTGAACTGACCGTAGAATTAGCAAGTTTAACAAATGGTGAGGAAATGGACGAATGGTATCCGCTGTCAGGGCTTACTCCAATAGGCGAATGGGGTGTGCTCCGTTTACGAATAAGGTAAAAATACGAGCTGTTCATAAATTCGGAGTCATGAGTGTTTTAACAATGGTTGTCCCATGCATTTTATATATTTGTATTATTACAGATACCGCCATGATCTAGCAATGCCTCCAGAAGAATATAGTCCGTTACAGCAATTGTTACTAGATCCAGAATTGCATGTTGTCAGGGCATTAGCAGACGTATGTCACTTGGATAGAGTACCATTGGCAAATAGTTTACTTAGAATATTTAGGCACGAAAGGAAAGAAGCAGACCTTTTGAGATCTTTGAATCAAGCGGAGGTATGTTCATTCTTTAAACAAAAGGCTGAACAATTTTTTTTAAGAAATGTATGCTTCATTTTATTTGTAGGTGGATAAGGAGGACGAAACGCCAACGCTCTTTAGAGCTGCTAGCCTTACAACCACGTTAATGGATTTATACATGAAATCAGTTTGTACCTCGTTCTTGAAAGCGGCATTACGCGACACTATAGTGAAATTGATTGAAAGTAAACAGAGCTGTGAATTAAATCCAACAAAAATGGATTCCCCGGAGGATGCGTGCAGTAACGCAGAATTTTTACTACAGGTACTACTAACTCATATAAACTGGTTGATGTTACGATAAAAAACAGTAATTAATAATCGACATCGTTCTAGGTTTTAGATGAAGTGACATTGAGCATTTTCACAAGTCCTGACGCATGTCCAAAGACGCTGAGATATATTTGCGGATGTTTACAAAGGGCAGTTGTTGCCAAATGGCCACACGAGAGACTAGTCAGAACGCGGGTAGTCAGTGGATTTATATTTTTACGTTTACTTTGCCCTGCCATATTAAATCCTAGGTCGTTTAATTTAATAGCTGAACCACCACCTCCAGCTGCTGCAAGGTAGGGTAGGTCTATATTAAACGTAAGAAATTTTGTGAATGTATAAATTCCTCGCTAATTCTCTCCTCTTTAAACTATTTGATAGATCGTTAGTAATGGTGGCAAAATGTTTACAAAATTTGGCCAATTTGGTAGAATTCGGTGGTAAAGAACCGTACATGGAAGTAGTCAATCCGTTTATTCTTAAAAATAAAGAGAGAATGGTGGTTTTTCTCGATCAGTTATCTGTACGTATGCATCCTTTATGTCAGTTTATGTTATGTATTAAACCGGTTCAGAGGTACATTAATTAAAACACTTATGCTTGCTTATGTTATAGAACGTAACAGAGAAACCAGAATCTGAAGGTGCCGATCCACGAAATAGGACCTGTGTTTCAGATACAGCAAGAGATTTGGCAACATTACATCATATTTGCGTTTCTCATTTAAAAGAGTTACAAGTCTTGTCTAAAACACAGGTATCACGTTTATCATCATGCATCTTTTTCACATACTTTGCCATAGACATTTACTTATTAATGTACCATGTTTGTTTTTAGCCAACAATAAAACAATTGGTGACAGTGACTGAAATGTTAAGCAAACACAAACAAAAATACATGGAAATGATACGGTAGTGCTAAAGCCATTTGCCATGAATCAATGCCAAACGTAACAAAACAATTCATAATTTGACGACAGATACACAACAGTAGTATCTAATAAATAATCATAAGTGGTTTAACTAATTAAACGTACAGACTGACGTGCCATATACATATATATATACATATTACTGTATACACAAGCCTACATTTACCATTTCGTATGTAATTAGGAGATAGCTTATACGTATAGTAAACAATACCATGACAGTGATATAGTTACATACAGAATCATATAGGCGTATAACGATTTTATATTTACTTAGGTGCTCGAAAATAAATGAAATTAAAGTAAACGTATCGAGTCATTTATCGAATTTCCCTGTTCCTGAAAATTAATATATTGATATTGTTTATCTAATAAGGAAGTGATGCGCTTGAAATGGGTTGAAGAAACTAATTTTTTAACATACATTAAACTGATTATTACAATTTTATTGTTGCAATAGATTTTTACCATGCCATTAAATGACGAATATTGTGTTAAATTTACGATCCTAGTCAGTTAATACAAAAATTCTTAGAAAATCTGTTAACAAAAATATATATTAAATATTGAGTTAAAAAATTAAGATGTGTATGCACGATAACATTTTTTACACATCATAATGTGTGCATGACCTCTGTATAAATTGTATCGGTATTTACGATTACGTAGTAAACATTTTTCTTTTTCCTTGATAAGGAGAGTATTTTTAATAACAGATGAACTATCTCGCGAACTGTTGTAAGATTACTGTTTCTCTAATTTTAACGAATGCTATGCCAAACATGTGAACACAGTACTTCCATTCGTTCTCATTTACATTTATATACGTATACGTATCCAGAAATATACATATATTTCCTTGACTATTGAATGAGTATATTTTTGTATACATAGTAGATAACAATTGCTTTATAATTTGTACTTAGTCCGTACCTTTATGATATCTTTTATTTTGGATAACGTGCTTGAAATGAAAGAATAAAGGGTATTAAAAATTGCCTTGCTTAACAATTTGTTCCAATGTAGATCAATAATGGACTTAACATTACGTGTAACTTAACTTTTTAACAGTTTAGTACCGTTTGATTTGGATAATGTCCTTTTTATATACGATGCATTTTAAGAATAAAGTGATTAAACGATTTATATGCATGTCGATTGCTTTTTTCACGTTATAAAACCAAACAGCATAGATGACCTAAATAATTAATATTTAGAGACGATCATTCAAGATAGAATTAATATAAAGAACACTTTTTGTACAAAGTTTTATTACGAATTCGAATTACACAATAACACCTATGCTGTGCAATTTTATATATACACATTTTTGATACTTGAAAAAGCTAGTATTACAAATTTGCGCGTTTACATATATAAGAATATTTGCAAATTATACTATTTCGATCATTTAGCAAAATGTTTAACCCTTGATTGTTGAAAATTCAGTCAGCCTCGAAACATGATCCCGCTCGAAGGATCTTAAATGTCTCATTAAATATTTCCATAGATTTTTGCAGAGGGAAATTAATTAAATTTTGTATTTTTATTTAACCGTAGAGTCGGGTCTCTCTTTAAAATGAGACAGCGATTATTGTCTGAACAAATATCAAAATATACAATCATGTTAAGAGTTTACAATTGATATTTTCAATATCTTAAAATTATACTCTAAGCAGTATAATCAACTTTAGATTATGAAAATTGCATGGTAACGACGAGATGGAGATAGAAAAGTTTAATAAAATGCCATCAATCACTAAAGTGTCATAAAATGCTATCTCCATACAGGCATAATTAGATATCCAAATATCAATGTAAACTTCCACTTCGATATGATGTCATTCTTAAATTAATTTTTGCATTATGATTTTTAATTCTAAGTTGAAACAACAACGATTGATAAAAGTCACGCTTATAATCGAAATAAATTTATATATACCAATCCTTTGTTACTAATATAGACGTATAAAAACGTTGTCGTAGAAATTAATAGATAACTGCATTATGTATATACAAAGTATCATCATATATGCGTTTGTAATTGCACTAAAGGGGAAAAACGTGAACGTACTTATACACTTCTAAGCTGGTAAATAGGTGTTTGTATCGAAATTGCATACTTAATCGCAGTAATATCTAACTAGCATGGCATGCTTAAAATTATTTGATCACAGCACAAAATGAGTTTTATGGCTTTTACGTTTTCTTTAGGAAAATGGAATCTTTTCGTCACGCATAACAATGTATACATACAATGATTAAAAACATATCTAATTGATAAATTAAACATGTTACAAATTATAGACTACTTGAATAAGGTATGTAAAAAATATCTGTGGGAAAAATTTGTTCAATTCTGAATCTGTCATCGACAATACCTAAAACTATAATCTTTTCGTTGGTTAATACTATATATATTCCATACTTAACAATAAAAGAAGCGAATGATCTAGGAGAATCATTCTCTTTTTTTTTTTACCAATTATTCTATGCAATCAAGGGTTAAAATTCTTCTGCTAATGGAATATTAAGAGTTATATGGCAGACTGTTGAACAAATAATGTATTTTACGAAATTTAACATCGAGAGTAAAAAACGTATGCGTTATAATACAATACTATTACATGTTTTGTTCTCTTCCCTCCCAATGTATAGATAAAATTGTGCTTTAAATTTATTACAATATTCTATAGAGGAAGCTGCAAAAATGTGCGTAAAGTGAACATAATCTAATGTTTTTGCAATCTATTACCATAATATGTATGTATCGAATGAGAGAAACAAGGTTGTCCAGAGATTTAAAGCAAACAGCATCGATGTCTCCTACGGTTTGGGTTACACGTTTTCCTATGCTTCTTCTTTTCTTTTTCTCTTTGCTCTTTGTATTTCCGTATTTCTCTCACCTATAATTTATTAATCATGATCACTACAGAATACAATTAAGAGATGCTTTATATTTTTGTATACTTTGATATTAAACTGAGAAAATTCATAAGCTTGGTTGCACTGTTGTAAATTTACTTACTAGAGTATAAAAAGCATCATCTACACCCATTCTAGTCTTAGCCGAAGTTTCAACGAAGGGCACACCGTACTGGCGAGCGACTTCTCTTGCCTGCGTCATATTGACTGCCCATGATTGCTGAAGATCACACTTGTTTCCAACCAATACCATTGGTACTTCTTCTGCATCTTTTACTCTTTTTATTTGTTCCCTATATGTTCCTATGTCCTGTAATGTTGATTACATATAAGCATACCTTCGCATTCTTTGTGAGACAGGAAAAAAGAATAAAGGAAGCAGTAAGTGTAACATACTTCAAAACTCTTAGCTGAATTTACAGCAAATACTAATAAAAATCCTTCACCAGTTCTCATATACTGATCTCTCATTGCACTATATTCTTCTTGACCAGCTGTGTCTAATATGTCTAAATGGCATGTCTCCCCATCTATAACTACCTGCATAATGAAAATTTTATACATATTACAAATGATCTAAATGAGAGGAGATTCTCCGTCAGTGCACGATAAAACCACTTACTTGTTTTCTATAAGAATCTTCTATGGTAGGATCATATTCGTCTACAAAATGATTTTGTATCAATTGAATTGTGACTGCAGATTTGCCAACACCTCCTGCTCCCACAACTACGAGCTTGTACTCTGTCATTATGTAATTCTTGCTGTTAATCCGAACTAAAACTTTTAACGTAAGGTCGCAATTGGTTTTTCTCTAAAAAGTAAAAGTTAACTTCTGACTTTATAGTGCACGGTCATATAAACAGGTTTGGAGTTGGACACCATTGGACACTCATATCACTCATATAACACAAATGCCTAGGGGAAAACGTTCCACGACTGACGCTCGACGCGACGAGAAAATAGAGAATTTAGAAAAATCGAGAAGCACGATGGGCGTCGGTACTCACTGACGCCGACGCCAATATACGGCGTCAGAAGAAGTCAAAAGTGCGTAGGGTGCGTAGGGTGCGTAGCGCGTGCACTCCGTGCGTACAGCTCATAAGAATTTTCTGCACTCACGTCATCAGAAACAATATTGTTTTGTTTATGATGTTCTGACGAGTATTCTTTTTGGAATTTGTTTTCTTATAATTACAGGAAAGGAATATTTTCAACAAACATGATCTGTTCTTTTTATTCATTTTTTACTTCATCTAAATTTAAATTATACATTTCAGGCTACACGACTAATGCATTATTCATCATTGCTATATTTTGTTATCAGTAGAGCTAATTGTGCAATAATGTCAGTGATTATTTAAACGAAACCAGACTTGAATTATTCCTTGGTTTCCAAGTTTTAATTTGTGTACTTAAAGGGTTTCAAATTTTATATAGAAGACTATCATAAAAATATTTTTTACTGCATTTGATATTTTAAATTTGATTAAAAAATGCATATAATCTATCATTATGATAAGCGCTTTGTCAGATCCAAGGCTTTTCAAGATAACTATTGCTGTGGGGATAAGTGTACTCAGGTGGAACCTGTAATTCATAGCTTCCACAAAGCGACTGAAGAGATAGAAGTGAATAGCTCGCCCATATTGGAAAATACTGAATTATATAATTTTTTTATTTCCTATATAGGAAAACAAAAAGTTTCCTAATAAAACATAAGTCCTTGCACTGTTTATCAATCGCCTATCACTTAAATGTTTCGGAAAGTATGTACCGTGAAATCGATCTTCGGTGCTGTGCATTCGTCCACCGAGGCATCTGTTGCATCGAACGTATCGCCCAGAGTGAGTATATATATGCATGTGTATTTTTTATTTGCAATAACAACATGAAACACAAATCTATATTATAACATAAATTTATTTTATTGGTGGCCTCAGGTGCAGCAGTTCAGAGAATTATTAAATCGTACAAGTGACAATGACATGCTCACAGATTCATATGGAAGGCATCATACATACCTACGTATTTCTGTTACCGAACGCTGTAACCTCAGATGTGAGTATTATATAAATTGATTTTAATCATTTTACATGATACATTTAATTCATTATAGGTTTGTATTGTATGCCAGCTGAGGGAGTTAAGTTGACAAAAAATGAAGGTATTTTAAAAACAGATGAAATAATCAAAATAGCAGATCTATTTGTAAAGGAAGGTGTAAATAAAATACGCTTAACCGGTGGGGAACCAACTGTTAGAAAGGATATTGTAGATATTATCAGTAACCTGAAACAATTGCCTGGCTTGAGACAGGTTGCAATTACTACCAATGGATTAACATTGCCACGTCAGCTACCATCGCTTCAGAGAGCTGGATTAGATGCAATAAATATTTCACTAGATACATTAAGGGAAAAGCGTTTTGAACAATTTACACGTAGGAAAGGATGGTCCAGAGTCATGGCTGCAATCGATTTAGCTATTCAATTAGATTACAAACCAGTGAAGGTGAGAAAAAGATTTAATAAAACGTAAATAATCGAATGCAAGCAAACCATCAACTCTAAATAAATGCTGTAGGTGAATTGTGTAGTAATGAAAAATTTCAACGATGACGAGATAGTTGATTTTGTTACATTAACGAAAGACCGACCGATCGATGTACGTTTCATCGAATATATGCCTTTTCAAGGGAATGAGTGGAATCAGAATAAAATGATTCCCTTTAAAGATATGAAACAACTTATTAGGGATACGTATCCTGATCTACAACGTCTTCCAAACGACTACAATGACACGTCCAAAGTGAGAATTTTACGTGAAATACAATTAACTTATGTACATATAAATTGCTAAAAGGATAACTTATTTTTCAATAGGCATATCACGTTCCTGGATTTACTGGTCAAATCGGATTCATTACGTCGATGAGCGAACATTTTTGCAGTTCGTGCAATCGTTTAAGAATAACCGCAGATGGTAATTTAAAGGTTTGTTTGTTCGAAGGAAAGGGAGAAGTGTCCCTTCGAGATGCCTTACGGAACGGAGCATCCGATGATACTTTAAAGGAAATGATCGGAGCCGCAGTACGACGTAAAAAGAAGCAACACGCAGGTATTAACTTTTATCTTTAATCCAATATGAGTGATGCGAGATCATAAAATATTAATTTTTACGTGAAGCGATAACGTTTATATGGCTTCGACGATATGTGTTTCAGGAATGTTCAATCTATCCAAGATGGAAAATCGACCAATGATTCTGATTGGTGGTTAATCGAGTGTTAGTAAAAAAAGTACAATTAAATATACAAAAATCATTTATATACGTACAAACGTTATCGCCTCGATTCGCTCGCGACAAAGTAACGAGGAACGTTAATTTCTCTTCTTTGTACTTACAGTTGAAAAGAAAGTCGTACGAAATTACAATTACTTACGCGTTAACGTGTCGCGCCAGCATTTAATGATCGGCGCGGGATTAGAATTCAAAATCAGCGAGACCGCGAGAGCGTTCTCATCACTCTCGCACGTGGATCCGAGCGGTAAAGCGAGCATGGTGGACGTCGGTTCGAAAGTCGACACTAAACGCGTCGCGATCGCGAGAGGAATCGTGCAAGTTGATTCGAATATAAGCAAATTGATCGCCGAGAATAATGTGAAGAAGGGCGACGTTTTAACAGTAGCACAATTAGCCGGTATTATGGCAGCGAAACGTGCTTCCAATTTGATACCGTTGTGTCATCCACTTCCGCTGACTTACGCGAACGTATCGCTGCGTTTGGATGAAGAATCGCATCGTGTGGAGATCACGGCGGAAGTCAGATGCACCGGTAAGACCGGTGTAGAAATGGAGGCTCTGACCGCTGTTAGCGTCGCTGCTCTAACGGTTTACGACATGTGCAAGTACGCGGCGTCTCCGAATTCGATGAAGATAACGGACATCGTATTAGTTTCTAAAACCGGTGGTACAAAGGGTAATTTTTATAGAGACTAAACATTCCATTCGAAGAGCATAATATATCTAATTAAAGATAGAAGTAATTTATACAAACAATTTTATACATAAATATATATATATATATTTTAAACAATTGTGCAATTGTTATAATGTATTCAGATTTTATTACGTTTGTTGTTACATAGAATTTATATCTTTAGGACTACTACGAGAATACGTACGTGCCTGTGAAACTAGAAATTAAGAAAATCGGTATATATATAAATATTTATCTTGATTGAATATCGCATTCTGTTTTCCCTTTTCTATAGATCATGAAAGTATCTGTATTTTATCTTTTGTAAATATGCAGCTGTATGCATATGCTCATTTTATATATGTGATCTAATAATAAATGTTATGTTTTATTTGTGAGTATTTTAATAAAACCAGATGTTTGCGTAAATGGTGGAATGATAAGAGCGATTCGAATCGTCGGCGCAATCGCAAATAATCGGGAACATTGCGAGGCGCCACTGCACCCGGCTATCAGCTTTTCCGCTTCCTCAGGCTGGATCGGCTTTCAGTATTTGGGACGCTATCGGAGCGCGCTGTTCTCGGAGCTGTTCCTTCGTCCTACTTCCGCTAAGTTCGGCGAATTGGAATGTGCGATGTGCTAATGCGAGTCACGTTGCTTTTGAAAGAGACGCGCGAACGATAAACGTTGCAATTTTTGAATAATTTATTTTTTTCACGAACTACGGACGTGTCCTGTCCTCATTTTTCTTTTTTTTTTTATCATTTAGAATAGAGCGGATCAATTCGCATAAAATGCATCGAATCAAGAGTGATATTGTTTGACGGGATTGAGGTTTTCATAAGTTTTGTGGTATTGCTGGAAAAAAATAAAACCGCACATGATTGCTTCGGGGAAATCCATCGTGAAATGGAGAACGGGGGACGATAACGATCGTCGGATGACCGGCGGATCCTCGATGGCTCTCGAGTATTCGTTCAAATTTCAGAGGAACGGGAAAAACGAATAAAGATGAAAGAGCGTCGCGCGTAAAAAAATGGCACCGTTCCATGGCATGGCCCTTATACTGCTTGGAATCGGATACCTGTTACACGCAGAACCGTCTTCCGGTCACTGGAGCCTAGGTACATACGATCATGCTCAAAGTGCCCTAACAGATTCGCGGACTCGTACGATCGATGATTCGAACGATATCGTTCTTTTATGAGATATAAAAATTAATTTTCAATTAAAACTTCTTCTTCGCTTTAAAGAGACAAAAAGGTACTTTCGTTGGGATAAAAAAAGATGCAAAATGTGCTTCGATTAATGGACGCTTTGAAATTCTTTTGTCGCGATAAATCGCGTTTCACTTTATGTTCCCGAGGAAATTTTTACATAAGCCCGAGAAGGATCGGATTTACTTTTTTTGAAAATTGACTAGCCGCTTTAATCCCCGGGGCGTCTGATTTATTTTTTAAAAAAGCCGGTCGCACGCACAGCGAAAGGGCGAGGGGTTTCTCGTTGCGATGGTTCAATGCGTGTGATACCTGAATTTTAGCGGTGCAACGACTCGACGAGGAGAAGCCCGATAAAGGGGAACAACGCTTGCAACGAGGGATGAAGAGGACGTATTTTTATAAAGACCCGCCGCAAAAAGTGACCGCCGTTGTCGGGCAGACCGTCGTGCTGTTGTGCCGCGTTAAGAACTTGGGCAACAGAACAGTGAGTTTCACGCCGTTGTACTTACCTTTTGAATAACAGAGCCGCTTTCGACGAGTTCGCAATTAAATTAGAAACTTCTTGAAACAATATGACGCATCGAATCTCGGGAAAACAGGCTCGTCGTGCTAGCTGCGCGTTCAATTGGATTTCAACGGGATTAACGCTACATTCTTATCACTTCTTCGGTTCCTTCAGAATTTTTTGAAGTTTAGAAAAATCGTTAGACAAAACAAAAGAAAGGAATCATTCAGCCTCGATTTTCTATTCAGAAATCTCAGTTGTAACGAACATCCTCTCTCTTTTCGTCGAATCCGAAAAGGTACAGTTGTCTAAAAAATGGGGATGTTCCTTTTTCGAAACTACTGAATGGTCTCAAACGATGCTTTGAAAGCTCTATTTCCCTGCCAATCCGAATAGAAATTGCAATTAAAACAAAAAAATTCTGAAAGAGATATTGATGCTCTTTTTCCGAACAACGATATGTTTATTCAGAGAGCAATAGGTAGGAGTTTTTTCATATTTATGTTACAATCCTCTGAAAAGACATCGTTAACAACGAAGCGTATTATTGCCAATTTCAGAATTCGGATTCGCAATTATTCGAAGTTACGCTATTGTAATCGCAGCTCGGGATGCGCCTGAAATTTCGGTTAAATTGGGGCGCAACCGGAATTCTCGCTTCATCTCTTGTTTCCCTTCCTCTCTGTGAATGGAGGAAGCTAGTGAGAAGAATGAAAAAAGCCATGAAATAGCCAACGTCTCGCATTTGTTTCCTTACAATGAACGCTTAATTTGTCGTTAAGTAATACGAGAATGAATCACTAAACCTGGGAGGGACGTCGGCGCGGCCGAATTGCTATGATAAACGACACTTTCGTGCGACTGTTTTTAAACCAATTTGCGTATGTTTTGCCCGGTTTCCTCGGTTAATGGGTGAGCGATTATCCCATTTGCCGTACAAATGTTTTTCCTCTTTAAACTCCCCTCATGCGACGATTATTCTCGCGTTGAAAAATTATTTCTTCTTCCATCAAAAAGTAATTGTAACACGTTCCTGTTTCGATCATCGTTGCACTGCGAGTTTCAACCGTCGCGATTTTTCGTCGCTGTCCAAACATCGAAATGTACATACACGTCGACAGATCGTGAAACGGAATGCTAATGCCCGGCGCAGACCTAGAAACGTTTTGTGCTAGAACAATTGTAAGACAGATTGGCAATTGCCTCGAAACAGGTACGAAATTCAACCGGAACGTACTCGGAAACCGATTAAAACTTTCTAACAAAATGTTTCCAGGTCTTTATTAGAATTCCAGTTACGCTACGCGCGCGTTAGCGTGGGAATTTCGCGGGAGGCACGATGTATCGCGGGGTGAGCGCGAGTCTGATGCGGAAAATTTGTCCCAGGTGTCTTGGATACGAAAAAGGGACTTGCACATCTTGACGTCGATGTCGCTGACTTACACGAGCGACGCAAGGTTTACGATAATCCGAAATGCCGGCGAGGAGGACGAGTGGAACCTGCGAATAGATTACGTCCAACCACGGGACGCCGGCATTTACGAATGTCAAGTTAACACAGAGCCAAAGATATATAGAGCGGTCACTTTGAAAGTTTTGGGTGAGTTTCCGGTCACCTCGCAGTTTATCGTACGACACGTTGGATCGTTTCACGCAGGAGAACGTTCACTTCTTGGATGCGAAGACTCTCTCGTTCGTTTTGACGAGTAAGAAAATCTGAAAAATTTCTCGAGATATCTTCAAGCCTTTTTCTGTTCCACGTAATCTTGAACAGCCTGAACCACTTTTTCGTAAGGTCGCGTTCCAGTTAACGCTTTAAGCGTCAAGCAAAATCATTTTCCTTCAACTCTATTCCCTCCGCGCTCCTATCATTTCCCCACGCTTTCGTTTCTTAGTCTTATATACTTATCCTACTTATCGGAGAAATAACGAAACAGCTATGAATAAATTTTACACTCACCCGCGAGTCATCTTTTATTCATTTTCCTCCTTTATTCCTGCCTCGAGTTTTAATCCTGTCCAGGTCCGTCTAACGAGAGTACATATTTATTGCTTATTAATCGTACGTTGATTAATATCTGTATTATTTAGTGTTATTGAAATCTATCTGTCCTTCATGTCATTGGAACATCAGATGTGCAGGCGAAGATCACCGGTCCCGAAGACATGTACGTGAAAAGAGGTAGTACGATCAGTTTGACCTGCATCGTGGACGTGCAAGATATTCCCCCGAGCAACGTGACCTGGTACCACGCTGGTGCGGTGATCGATTTCGATGGTCCAAGGTGCGTCTTCTATCGCTGTCAGCCAGATCCAGAAAACTTCGAAATTTTGTGACCTTCGACTCGAACAATTATTTCATGAAACGTCATTCGGCACCGTTCAACGTGGTTGACTATCATTATTTGCAATAATATCGTGTGCTTTGGCAGGGGCGGAGTTTCCCTGGAGACGGAGAAAGGTAAGAACGGGACCACCAGTAAGCTGTTGATAACGCGGGCACAGCTCGAGGACAGCGGCAATTATACGTGCGTATCGAGCAAAGTCGCCCCCGCAAGCGTGATGGTTCACGTGTTAAACGGTGAGAATGAAAACACGCACGATTAACTCCCGAAGAAAAGCTCCTCCATTTACGAGAGAAAAAAAGGCGGGCAGCACCCTCTTTATTCCATCAACCCCTCGACATCCCGTTGAGGCATCAAAGCGGCGCAGCGCAGCGTCGAAATACTTTAAGAACATCTCGCGAAAGACCCTTGACGAAAGATTTACCGGTGGAGGAAATTTCGCCGGAGTACTTTCGATCGGTTCGTTGCGTGTCAAAGTTCGTGGCGAGGACGGCTGGAGAGCCGAGCGAACAACAGAAGCATAGAAACGCGACGGACACAATAGTAAAGATTCGATAGAACGTTTGAAAAAGCTGCGGCATCTCAGACACCTTTCGCCGTGTTTTCCATTGTAATTCGCGAAACTCATTTAATCCGTTTTTCTCGTTAATCCGCGATAATGAACAAATCTGGATCGCCCCGCGAACGAAAAACAGCCACGGTTTGAAATTAAACCGGGAGCTTCCTCTCGTTATGCAAATCTCGCCCGACCCAATGAGATTTTTCCCCTCCTCGACCCTCGAGCCCCTCGTAAGAAATTTCGCCGCAGATTACGTTTTACTTTTCCAATACGACTGAACAATTTTTAATTATTCGCCGATGATGAATCGGGTGTTGAGCACACGGTTGGCACGCACATTGTTTCCAGGCGAACATCCGGCCGCGATGCAGCACGGTGGCACCGGGAACATCAACAGGAGGGCCATTCTCTTCAGCCTGATCCTGCTGGTGGACACGATATTTCGGTGAACGAGTGGCTGCAAGACGTTCTGTGATTCGCGAGCTTCGACGCGTTCACCGCGCGCGGACTGAATTTTCTATGAATCGGGAAATACACGGAGTTTCGGCGCCGAAATATTGTATTACGTCGCCGAGGGACGATTCGTTACTTCACCGCCGTTCACCGCCTCCGCCCCGCGTCGTGCCGCGAATTCTGTTCCGATCTCACACCTGACCTGACTGTAACACGCATACACGTACATTCCTGTAGAATAATAATCAACTATCTCGCGACTCTGTGTATACACAATGATTAAACGAACGAAATATTTGTTAATAGGTACGAAATACATTCTGCTAATTGATACGTACTCGTTTGGTTGAATCATTTCGTTGATCACTGGCGCGAACGATATAAATTGTGTTCCCCTGATAACTGTACTTTTTTATGCATCAACACTCACACGGTATCGTTCAAATAAATCACGATAAAATTTCACCCGATTTCGAAATATTTGTTTTTTATTTATTCATGATGTTTATACATTTACGTTGAATATTTTTTTAAATGACTGGCAATAAAATTTCACAGCATGTGCAAAACACGGTTTTATAAAAGTTGTGTAGATACGCTTTGAACTGACTTACACCACTGTGAACCCATTTATCCATCGAAGCAGTGTTCGCTTTAACGGATGTGTTTTCTCTCCCCTGCATCGAAAACAGAGCCAAGTACGAGTCAGTTTTTAAGTCAATTTCCGTGTAACGTATCGACGGTGCCTCGTACGATTAACCAGATTATCGGTATTAAATCCGGGACACGTTTTCCGATAATGGAAGGGACAGATATCTGAAGTCCGGCTACGTTTAAACCGGGCGTCCCGTCGCGACGCCCCGCGCCGGGGGAACAGTGCCGGGTCTCATTTTATGCAAATCGCGACGGAAGCATCTGTTAGGTAGGTGGCCGTGTGCCGGACCGCGAAACGGAGACGAGAACACATCGCATCGCGTCAGCCCCAATGTAAATTCATGGCGAACCGGACGATCCCTCTCGTCTCGTTCCCTGGTGCGTGCTTCGGCTCCGACCACGATTCGATGAAATTTCCGGTTTGAAATTGTCGTTGCCCGGCTGGACACTCTCCGTGTTAACCGTTCCGAACTTCCAAACTTTCGTGAAAGATTAACTGTTGTCACCGACAAATTCCCTTTGAGCCCTGATAAATGGGCTTAGGGAAGATTTCTGAGGGACGTATTGTACGTAGTACACATACATACATCTCCCAATTCTTTTATTTGGAAAGTACAGATTTTATTTTACGCCAATAAATTACTATTAAAGTGTGTAATAAACTGGACACCTTAAATCTTTAGGATTTCTTATTTTATTTACAAAAGCGTTTAAAAGCGTGTAACATCTCGTGGAGCGCGAAATTTCGTACACGTAAAGCGAGCGAAGAGAAAGAGAGGGCCTCTTTGTATTCCGTTGCCTTTATGCATCGCGAAAACTGTGCATACACACACTGTAAGGCGCCTACAGGTACAAAGCGCTCCGACGTGTGCAATTACTTCTACTTAATTCGACATTCGGAATTTAAATGAAAGCCCGTCCCGAAATGAAATTCGCAGGGTTACTCGGATGCGCTTCAACCGTGTATCGATTAAACAGCGTTACCTTTGTAACTCTTTTTTTTTTTTTTTTTAGAAGTAGGTATCGTATTCTTTTTTTTTTCTATTTTTATTTTCCACGGGAGACAAGCTTTTAAAGAACACGGTTCCCGTTTCATTCGAACTCGAAGTTTAACGCGAGCTACGAAGAGTTTAACGAGATTCTGAACGTCGTTTGTTATCCGAAAGTTAAGTTCTCGGTAGATTTAGAACGGCCTGCTGTAACGTCGGGGACGGAGACGACCGGAGCGGACTTTTAGCGAATTTGTTACAACGAGGAAAGATGGTAGCGCGAGAGATAAGTTCTCCTTCTCCGCAGGTAAGTAGATATATATATATATGTCCTAAGTACGTATCTAATGACTCCGACGGCTCGAAGTTAATGAGCTCGAACAAGGCGACCGTAATTTTCAGACCGTTCCAACTGGTCCATAGGATTGCGAATCGATAGGAGTGTCCGCTTAATAGCTTCTGGGATTCAGCCAGGCCGGGGAGAAACATTAAAAAAAAAAAAAAATTCATAACAACTCCTTATCGTTTTCTATTTCATTGTCGTGGATTTGAGTATTGGTTTTCATTGTGGCGTGGGAGAATGCGCGGGTTGAATTATACGAGCAGTGCGCCGTGCACGCAAATATGTATCGGGTTTATCGGAAAGAGTAGCATCGAAGCCCCGAAGAACCGTGGCTCGTGACCCGGGGGCCGCACCTCTTTCACCAGTAAAGCTCCGCAATAAAGCCCGTGGTCGGCATAAATCAACTATGAATTTTATCGATGAAAAACCAAGACTGCTGCCATTCGTATCACGTCGCATTCCAGTTGACAGTTTGCTTTTGAAAAAAGATAAGGCACCCGTCGACGCCTGTATCCCAGTTTTTATACTCACCGACTTAGCCCCGGAACACTTTCGCGTTTAATGGGGATGCATTCGCGTAACTGTAGATAAAAGCGCCATCAACGAGGAATGATCTTGAAGATTTCCTTCCCACGTCGCCTCGGCCAGCGAAAAGTGATGATCAGCACGATTTCAACTTTTTATGCCAAAGATTTCCGCCGGATCCGTAGAACTTATTATACTTCTAGCTAAGTCTCGTTCTATGTTTGAGAGTTTCACAGATCTTCCGAGATGTGGCTCGTTAATTCCTGAAAACCTTGTTATTATTTTAGCAGGAGGAAGTTGCGTCGGTCGGAGTTCTTATGAACGGAGTACACAGCCCCCGAGGGGAAATGAGTTTCTCTATCTTTAATGTAATATAAATAAAATAATTTCGTTCATAAATGAGCAAGTTAAACGTCTATCTGGACAGTTTAATTAATTATTCAAAAACCTCGTCTTATTTCTTATTATCGACTCCGCTACGGCGATGAATTATTATTTAATTATTTATCGAAGAACGTCTAGGGCTACGTACGTAACGTGCATTACATGTGATATTGACATGTGAAACAGCTTTTACTATTTCACTCCCTCGCGTGTACACAAAAAATCGTTATCCCAATTTTGTTTTTGTCAAGCATTCTTTTGTTCCACGGATACGCCCAGATTCAGCCAGCTGAAACATCGAACTGCGGGCCGTCATCGCAGCTTTCCGGAAAAATGAATCAGCAGTCGAGCAAACCCCCTAACGAACTGCGAGCCTCGAGGTATAAATCAGCCGCGAATATACGGAAGCTAAGCGCGACGACGAGACAGGTGCAGTTCAATGGGTAATTGTCTTCAATGCTGACGTTCATCAGGTTAACTCTTTTTAAGTCGATCGACTAATTTCTCGTTGCTGCAGAGTAGGAGGAGATTGCCGTCTTCTCGGATATCAGGCTTGAGTTCCGGAAGTCGCATGTTCTTCTACAGGCGTGCAGATCGGTTGAAGGCACGTAACATTATCAATTATGAAACTATCGATTCGCTAGTCGATGGAACTCTCGCGTGGAGAGAACATGTAAAATTCAGCATAACACTAAATTCGTTCGATTTTTGCTTAAGCTTTCGAGAGGTAGTATTGTAAGACGACGTTACATTCTTTCACGTTAACATGTAACCTTCGAGGATTTTATAGAAAAAGATTGAATCTGGAGAAAATATGAAGGTTGTATAAAAGTATATGAAACATCAAACGACACGTGTATACCACAATATCTAAACGACAAAGGAAATTCCTGTCTAAAACATTTTTCTTGATATCGATGTCACAAATGTTTTATTTCTTATTTATTAAAAAATTCAGCCTAATCATTCAGGGATGATTAATTAATTGAACATGTGTGTTTCTTTCGTTGTTTTTTTCTTTATTCTTACTGTACAATTTACTTTTATTATATGCTACAATGGGCTGTCCATGAATAAATTATTATTATTATTATTATTATTATTATTATTATTATTATTAATATTATCATAGATTCCCAAGTACCAGAACACTTATCGGTTGGAATCGTTCCGGAAATTCGACGTCGAGGTGATCGACATGATGGTTGAAAACGTCATGGTGAGGAAACTCTCACCGGTTACGGCCTACCATCCGAATCAAATGTCGAGACTGTGTTCCGACATTGGATCGGACTTGCAAACGGCGCTCTGTAGAAAGGATTACGACAGGTGGTGTAGCACGTACTGCGTTTTGCCCTATAAAACGCGAGACGTTCGCGATTCTTTAGCCAGTTCCACTATGCCTCGTAAATTTTAACAGCTGCTCCAGTTAAAAATTTCACTCGTTCCTTTTAATTTCAAATTCAATGTTCCGTCCCCAAGTGGAGGAAAGGCTGGCTCGAAATAATTAGTCACTTCTAGCCTCGTTATTTCTGTAATCAGATGGCAAGCTGATATAAAAATAATTGCAGTGTTTTAATAACGTTGCCTGGCAGAAAAATAAAATGCATAGTATAAACAAATTCGCTCTTAGTCATCTAATTACAGATAGCAATTGTTTTTGATATCGTTGATCTGTAAATATTTCGATTGTTTTATTGTGTTTCAAAGGTACAAATTAGTGGTGCAGGTGACCATAGTGCAACGTTTCGATCAAGGTATCCACTCGGGCGCCCAATGCCTCTGGGACGTGGAACGGGACAATTATTCGTACTACCTTTTCGAAAACAACCACATCTACGCATGGTGTTGCGTGTTCGGCATGTACTACGAGTGAAACTCGCTCTGTTTAAATCCGTTCCGACCATACCATGTCTCGCTAGCAACCCCCGATATTCGTTTCAATTCCAAACTAATTCCTGCCCCGTTCTACTTTCCGCCATCATTTTTCGCACGCTCGATATCGTGCGATACCGTTGCATAATGATGGAAATATACGTCGACGTTTACGAGGATCCACCGCGTCGGCCACCCAACCCGCTCGCTGCACCCCGTCTCAATTTATCGAGGTTTTTCGCGACACCCGGCAGAATATCCTTTTTATTGGTCGAACGAAACGCCGAACAAGGGAAGAAAAATTATCGCCCGAACGAGGATGTGCCGAAATAATTTTCAAACTTTGTATCCCATGGAAAAATACAGAGAGATAGACGGAGAGAGAGAGATGAAAGAGAATTTACTTGGTGTCAGAGTTTGCCGTCCGCGAACTGGACCGATCGTACCCGTATCCGTTTGAGAACGCGTGCACGGAAAGAGTTTCGATCGATTATAAAGTAACCGTGCAATATTAATATTTATTAGTTTCGCAACTCCGCCCTTTTATTTCCTCTGAACCCCCCGATCGGTGCATTGGTCCTGTGCTCTCTTGGTTTTCCACGATGATTTATCGGAAAACTTTCGCCCGGCTCCCGTCTACTTCTCGTCCGAATAATAGTCGCCGATTTAAAGTTTCGGGAACACGTCCGACATTTTTCTACAAGTACAGATACGTATTCGTCGCATCGCGGCTGAACGAATTTGTAATTTGTACCTCTGGTGGCCCGCCCGATCCTCCGAACAATTTATAGATCGTTTTATTACGGGAAAATCGTGATCGAAATTTCCATCGCGCCGTTAAACCGGCGAATTTGATACGAATGATTGACCAGGAGCTGGTCAGGTGTCATCGGTGAACCGTCAATTTTCCAAGCCGAGTAGAAACGCGGTGGGAAAACGCGATCGACTTTCTAACGATTGCTCCGCCCGAAGGTCGTCGCGCGCCAGTGAAAATTCAGGACAATATTTTCAGCGTCGCCGCTTCCGGCGATTGTCCAAGGTGATATATGTAGTTATCGGTGAAAGAAGAACGCTCCTCGCTGAATTTATGACAGCGAATAAGTGACGAGTTACCAAACTTTTTTCCCCGATTAGAGGAATCTTTATCGACTTGTCCGCGGGAACGATTTTTGAATTGCAGGTGTGGTATCGAACAAAAGTACTGCCGGTAACTCTGCTGATTTAGCAACTGTACGACGTAAGTTTCTGCAACGGAAGGAACTTTTATACTGGTCATTAAGGTTGTATGAACCTATACGTAAAAGCAATGACAAAGCATTGAAATTTTAACAGTTACGAGATATTACATCAATAAAACACTGTACAAAATTTTAGAAATATTGCGAGTTTATTAAAGAAAGTTGTTACATCTTGAATTCTCATGTCGAATGATAGAATCTTGATTTGATTTATGAAAAAATAAGAATGCAACAATGATAGAATCTTGTAATTTTATATAATTC